GTCATGGTGGTGCCTCTGTGGATTTCTCATCTGTTGGACAGAATCCGAGGTACGAAGCGAGTCCGGCTCGGTGGCGTTCTGGCACAGATGGAGGATAATTGGCTCAGGTTGCACAGAGATTCATCTCACTCAGTCGGCTCATATCTGCTCCATTTGTCATTGGGACAACAACAAAAACTATTGTATCGATTTCATACCCAGAAAACACGAAAGTATCCACTGCTGCCATTAATGTTTAAACACTATTTGAATGAACTCGCTTTTTGCTTTCTCTTTGCTTCGCTGTAGTTTGTGAGAAAGTGTGATGAGATTTTTGTCAGATTTTCATGAAACCTGTCAAAAGCATGTCCTAGAATCAATATATGTACGTCAACATTTCAAAAAGTTGGGTCAGTAATATTTATTTTTGGAAATAAATGAATACTTTCATTCAGCAAGGATGCATTACATTGATCAAAAGTGACAGTAAAGACTACATTTTATTTCTATTTCAAATAAATGCTGTTCTTTTGAATTTTTCACTTATCAAAGTATCCTGAAAAACAATTATCACATTTTCAACAAAATTTTTAAGCAGTACAACTGTTTTCAAGATTGATAATTACAAGAAATGTTTCTTAAGCATCAAATCAGCATATTAGAATGATTTCTGAAGATTCATGTGAGACTAGAGTAATGATGCTGAAAATTCAGCTTTGCATCATGAGAATAAATTGCATTTCAAAATATATTCAAGTAGAAAACGTCTCAGGTTACTTATGTAACCATGGTTCCCTGAGTAGGGAACGAGACACTGCGTCCTCTAGGGGTCGCTATGGGGAACGCCTCGTCGTGACCCGTGTCTGAAGCATACATTGAAAAAACACCAACTCGTTGGCCGGCGACAGCCATTACATCACTACCGGTGCGACTATAGTATAAATAGGCGCCGGGAGCACACATCATTCACTTCTTCGTCTGAAGCTTGCGTCCACAGCATGGCAAGAAACCTAGAGGACGCAGTGTCTCGTTCCCTACTCAGGGAACCATGGTTACATAAGTAACCTGAGACGTTCCCTTTCATGGGAACTTCGAACTGCATCCTCTAGGGGTCGCTATGGGGAACGGTATACCCACACCACCATGCTGAGGGAGTTTTCCAAGCATCTGCTCACAGCCAAACGGGAGAGGCAAGCTCAAATCAACAATCGTGTGACGTCACACAGACAAGAAGCTGAGAACGGCCTGATTTGAAAAAGGGGATATTATTTTTAGGGATTAAATAAAAACCACTGGGTGGATTTTTATCATTATAGGGTAGATGTATACACACACTGCCAACACACATTTATGTTCAAACAACATGTAAAAGTGAAATTGGCAACCAATGACCCCTTTAAGTGTGATATCATCGTATGGAATAAATATTATTTGTAGGCATCTATAACATACTTTGGTTAAAATTTCTCAGTGGTAGTGTGAAAAACACCCTTTTTACCTCGTCAAAATCAGCTCTGCAGAAATCAACCTGTTTTTTGCATGTTGCTTTAAATGCTATGTGTACGCTAATGTGTACACACACTGCCAACACACATTTATGTTCAAACAACATGTAAAAGTGAAATTAGCAACCGATGACCCCTTTAAGTGTGATATCATCGTATGGAATAAATATTATTTGTAGGCTGTTTTGCACACTTAAAATCTAGTGTGACAGCCACTGTACTCATGAGTTGTTTGGTTTGTATTTTGAAATATAGGTGTCACGTGATATCTTTCTGTCACACATCAGAAAGTTTAGTTTCAGTAAATGCTTATTTTGATCTGGTGAGGTGTTTAGGCTTAAAAATGTACTGTATGTCTTTATGAAAAGGTTTACATTTCAAAAGATTTTCAATGACATTCAGTAGACCATACCAAATAGGGGGTTGTCATGTTCATTGAATATGAACGTCAAACATAATAGTAAAAACACTCTTATTGCTCATGGACAAGAGGCACTTCTCAGAATGAGAAGAGAGATGTGCACATCCTGAAACGATCCAAAACAGCATCACTTCCCCTCTGAAATCCATTTACCTGATGAGGCCGCTCTCGGGAAGATCAAAGGCGGTGTAGCTCATTCACTTAAATGATGAATTGATGGATAATGCATTCACTGTTGAATGAATCAACGATCGGATATGAAGTCTGATTCTCTGCCTCTACACTTTTTCTTTTCGTGATCAGAATTCAGGGGTGGTTTATGGCAGTGCCTCAACTCAGGACAGCAGGTGCAGCACGAAGGACTGTCCTGCATAAATATACACCTCTCACATTTTGATGGTGCCCAAAAGTGCAAAATCCTCTAGGGGAGGAAGAGCTTTTTCTTCCGTAGCGCCTAGGGGGATCTCTTTGTTAAAGTCTAGACTAAAGACTCATGTGTTTAGTCAGGCATATAGCTGAATTCCCACAGCCAGCTCTTAATCGGACTGTGCTAGCTCTGTATGCCGGTGGCTATTATTTTATACATCCTCCTCTGTGCACAGTGTGCAAACGCTCTGTTTACATGGAATACCCTGATGACACACGGCATCTGCTAAAATGTAATGCAAGAAATCCCATATTGCTCAATGCAATGCACTCAGTTTGACCTTTCATTTTCAGTGTGTGACAAATTGCAGTTGATGCTTCCAGTTCTTCACATCTACTTTCAATGCATAATTTAATCAGCCTGACAAAAATAATATTTTTGCATGAAATTTAACTTAGCCAGCCTTTGTTTTAAATGATTGTGCCTATCATAATAATGTTTGCCACGTCATTTTTAATAGTTTGGTTGTAATGTAAATTAAATTTGCCTGACAAAGGTTATATGACCAAAAGTTATTTATTCATTGATTTTTTTTTCTTTAATAAAATTAGAATTGGATAGCAAATGCTAAATGAATGTACTTTTTATATAGCATTTAATTTTAATATCATTTGTGTGTGATTTAAACTAAAGCGGCAAGTATTGATAGCTTGGATTATTTGTTTTTATTATTTTATTTTATTTGTATTTATTCTGTTTTTATTCAGTTTTATAGGGCTCTTAAAAGCTTGAAATTAACTTAATTTTTTAATTTACTTAACATTTATTTCTACCTTTTCAGCACCCATGTGCAAAGATAGTGGATTTCAAATGCAAAATTACAATTTTTTTTAAATAGCATTTCATTTTAATTGTGTGTGTGTGTGTGTGTGTGTGTGTGTGTGTTTTAAACTAAAGTGGCGAGGATTGATTTCTTGGTTTTATTTTAATGTTTTATTCAATTTTTTATTGATTTATTTTTTTTATTTAATTTTATAGGGCTCCGGAATGCTTGACATTAATACAATTTTTAACTAATAAAGTAGATTAGAAATACTAAAAAAAACTGTGCTTTTTAAGTTGTTTATATTAAACTAAGGGGTCAAAGATTTTTTAATTTAATTTAATTTAATTTATTTTATTGTATTAGCTTGAAATGAACTTAATGTAATATTTATTTCTACCTTTTCAGCAACCGTGTGCAAAGATAGTGGATTTCAAATGCAAAATTACTACTTTTTAAATAGCATTTAATTTTAAGTGTGTGTGTGTGTGTGTGTGTGTGTGTGTGTGTGTGTGTGTGTGTGTGTGTGTGTGTTAAAATAAAGATTTCTTGGTTTTATTTTAATGTTTTATTCAATTTTTTATTGATTTATTTTTTTTATTTAATTTTATAGGCCTCCGAAATGCTTGACATTAATACAATTTTTAACTAATAAAGTAGATTAGAAATACTAAAAAAACTGTGCTTTTTAAGTTGTTTATATTAAACTAAGGGGTCAAAGATTTTTAAATTTAATTTAATTTAATTTATTTT